GAAGAGTAGTCAGGGCATTCTTAGATTACACAAAATTAATGAGGCTTTACAAGATCGACTTTAATCATAACAGAACTACGCGCGTAGTTTCTGAAAAATCCCTTTTTGGTATCACGCACCCTCGACCATTCCAAGGGTGAAATTCCTGCAGGGCTCTGACGTCGAGCAACAGGTAAAAATGTAAAAGCTTAGACGACACACCTGTCTACACAAAACAATGGAACGATAAACTCCCACGTTTCCCTTCGTCTGTCCACCACCGTAGAGTACCTGCATAAGTTTAAAGTTCATTGCATTTCTATAAGAAAAAAATCCATCTGACGGCAACGCGATACGTCACTATTTACATTTTCTTTTATGTAAATAAACGACGGTGCACGCGACTAAAAGCTGCATGTTTCCTTTTATGACACCGCTACCTGAGTAAATCTCACTTCGGTCCTATTCATTTGCGGATTTTCATTTTAAACGGAATTTTAATCTTTCTGAGAAATTCCATCAATGACGAAGGAGAAATTTACGCTGGCTAGGTAGAAAGAGATTCATTAGTGTTTTTATCCTCTTTTCCGTGCGCTGTATGAAAATTGCCTTCCAAAAGTTTACTTTCGTTTAATACGTGATTTATGCAAAAAAAAACGTGCCCGACTAAAAAAATCGAAATTCGTTCCCAATAAAAAAGGCTACCCAAGAAGGATTGTGACACACACAAATATTCTCAGAAATACACCTACATTTGAAAATTATGACCGGTTTTTGCTTCCCACATTTTTATCAATGAAAATTAAAAGTCCCAAGTGAGCATGGCTTGCAAAACATAACATAAAAATTTGGCCCTAAGAAAAGTAGCCGTCTATAGGAATTCTCTTCCTGAACTTCCTGACTATGCTGGAGGGGGGAGGGTGCACTACTAAGTTTGATAGCGCATTTTACAACTCATGTTGGAAGGCGCTGTATTACCTATGGCCCCTTTCTTCGTCCCTCCTAGGCCTTATTAACGAGTATTGTGTGATCAAAACTCTCTAAACCTTCCCCATATAGTTTTATTCGTTGAAGTTTTTTAAAAGTAAAAGCGACTATAGTTTCGGCGTACTGCCATCATCAGGCGACTAGAAGAAGGCAGTACGCCGAAACTATAGTCGCTTTTACTTTTAAAAAACTTCAACGAATAAAACTATATGGGGAAGGTTTAGAGAGTTTTGATCACACAATATATTTCAACCCCCATTTCGAGGAACGATGGATCCAACTCAAAACTTATTAACGAGCTCCTAGCGTCCGTCCGTCCGTCCGTTAGCACGATAACTCATGAACGAATGGACCGATTACGATGAAATTTTGCAGGTGGGTTCTTTATAAAATTTGTAGATCGGAGTTCGTGAATTGGCAATGTAGCCCAAAAAATAAAGTAGGCCCTTTTGACATCTCCGTTAGTTATGAACCGAATTGCATAAAATTCAATATGCGCATAGCTTTAGCCATATAAAACACAATTCCAAAAGATGAGCCTAATCGATCAGCATTCACAGTGTCCTTTGCGCATCTCGACCATTTACAGACCGAATTGCAAACTTTCTTATTTATGAAGGTAATTAAATGAAATTTGATACATAGCCACTTGGAATAAAAGAAAATTTAACGCCAGTTTCAAAATTTCCAAATACTGCTTCCATGATAGCAGCTTTTTATACCTAACAACCTTCGAGCTCCGTGATCTGCTATCATATCCAAATCGAAGAAGACAACAGTTGGCTGTAATAATCTATTGTGAGCACTTCCTGGGTGACTGTTACGTTAGTTTAAATGAAAATGAAATTGATGTTCCATTCCTAGTTAAGGAAAGTGTTTCGAACATGGTTTTCCTTCTAAACACGTATAAATGTTAGAGGCAATACAGAATAACGGCGTTCTTCAGTTAACTTTAACAGATATCGAGTACGAGTACAATGCACTTTCAAGAAGTAAATGGCGTCTTACATTTACATTAATCAATAGGTTGCTGTAATCAAAATGGAAAGACGTGTCCATTTGCGTAAAACTAAGTACACGGATAATGGTACAACTGCAATAATAATTAATCTTCGTTAGACTTCATTTCAATTTGTTAATTTGAAATGAGCATCTACCAGTAATTTAGAATAAGATATTGCAGTTGTTCATTGCATGGTAAATGGTAAGATGATTGTTTAGAGAATGCTATTGCTATGGTATTACGGAATACCAAACATCAAATCATACCCTAACTGGCAATCACGCAATTCGCAAATTCAACATGAATCTTAAATCACACGGGGGCGGCTAAATTTAGTGACCCTTCTATTGAAAAATAAAATCGAGTATAATGGTAAGTACTGATATGAGATAGTTCGAGTAACGTTAAATTTTAATAGTTGAAGCCACTGAACGCTCCTTTCCGGCATTTAAAGGTCTGGAGTTGGATCTCTTTAGGGTTGCGCGATTTTTAGTGTTGAGTAGTACCTATTGTACTTTGTACCGGGTGACCCAATAAGACTGTTCCTCGACCATATCTCGGGAACCGTTTGTCGTATGAATTAGGGTAAAAAAATTTATTGGGTAAATCGCTTATGAAGAATCGCTGGAATAGTATATTGAAAGACAAGTGTTACAATGCGACCTATTGTAATACGACTATCTTGTGGCACGAGTGGCGTAGCGAAGCGGAGCCACGAGTGTCCGCAAGATAGGAGTATTACAATAAAGCATTGTAACACGTGTTTTTTATACTATTTTTTCTATTTCGGGGCTTTAATTTAATTAAAAAGTAATTAACAAAAACTACAGGAAACTTTAGAATTAATCTGTCTGAAGTTGGCAACATCTTTCACGTTGACAAATTTTAAGTTGGCAACGTAGATAAACACAACACTGACAATTCGAAACTTTAAATTCCGTGAATGTGTAATTTTTTACTCGTAGATAAATTTATTTTCAAGTTGTAACTGCCATCTTAAATTTTAAAATTGCATTTTCTTTAAATTTCGCATAATAAACTACTTAAACATTCTTTTTTAACATTTTTAAAGAGTTTATCTATCATTTTCGTAAAAACATAAACTTAGTTATTTCAAAAACAAAGATGGCGTGGGGCGTTCAATTGTTTTTGCAATAACCTGCTTTAACTTCTATACCGTTTGACCGATTGTAACAAATTTGGTATTGTTGAAAATAGAGCATTCCTTGGGCCATAAGAATCAACCAAAATATAGTTAATTTAGTTGAATCCTTCTCCGCCACTATGTTTTGACACTATGATCCAAAATCCTAAAAAAATCAAAAAAATCAAATGGAATGATATGACTTTTTCGTTATGAAAAAGTAGTCAAATAACACCCAAACAGGTCAGTGAAAACCCTGGTGAAAACCGTTTTTCAAAATCTAGTTCCTAACCACAAATATTGGGAAAATGAGATTAATTAATTAATTAATAAAAATGCTTAAATAATATCTTATTTGACGTATTTCCTGTATTTGTCCCTGGCGCGAAAGATTGTTTGGAAAAGGACCCTACACTTTTAGGTAGGCCTTGGAAAATTAAACAAATGAAACACGATGCATTATAAAATAATAACAGCCGTAATTTGTAAATTATTCTGCTGTGTTTACATTAAGAAAGTGCAGTGTTTTTAATTTGTAATCTTTTCTAAAATGCCGATTTCTAACCAAGAAGCATTTAAAATGCTGGCGGCCATGGTTCGTGGTCGATTCGGATAACGCAAATAGACGATGTGGACTACGATGGTCGCATTTTGAAAATACCTACTCAAAATATATCGCCAGCATATTAAATGCTTCTTAGGAAAAGGAGTACAGTCCGCCTAAATATATGAACATTGTTTTTTGTCCATTTTTATAGAATATATCGTAAACTAATAAAAGGTTTTTTTTCGAGTGCCACTATGGGGATCTCACTTATCTTAAGAGATAGAAAGTTGCCAATTTTCGTGCTGAATAAGAATCTGAAGAGAAATTTGAAATATCTTTAATAGTTTTGAAGTTATCGCGAAAAAACGAAAATGTCTGATTTTCGTTTTTAATTTTGTTATGATAAACTAATCGTAGTACCCATTTCTAATTAACACATTATTCGGACACTTTTTAATGGAGATTTCAAATATGGCATCCTGTTATTAATAACTTTCAAGATGACGGAGAAACACGTGGCAATTTTAGTTTTTCTTATGTACGCCATTTTGAATTTTCACATTTTGAGATTACGTCTTTTTTTCTCTTTACAACGATATATCACACATGGTGGTCCAGTATCACATTTTTCCTAAAAATACAATTTTTAATTTTTTGAGAAGAGTGCTTTGGAAAAACAAAAATGTTCTTTTGTTGACACCGTGTATAGAGTGAATTTGTTGATTTTTTAAATATTTTATTTCCGGTAAAGGAGCACAGTCTGCTTTCCAAAAAAGAGTTATAACAATAACATTGAGCTAGCCGCAGGTAAATTTTGAGGAAAGAAATCTAACATTATATTAAAAAGTCAAAATCTAGTATTCCGATAATTTACGTCACAGTAATGAATGTAGGTACTTAATTTTTCATTTTTGTGTGAATAAAGTTTTATTTATTGTTTATTTTCTAAAAAAATCGCTTTGGATCCCAAATTGAATGTAATTTAGATTTGGTTGTTGTTTTTGTTGTTGAAACCGCATTTCTGATTTTAAACGATGTTTAATTTAAAATATAAATTACATCTTCACAAGGTTAAATAGTTCCCATACATTTTCTAGCAAGACACCTTAATGTAGAATTGCGTTATTCCATAGAAATTGTTGATAACAATTTAATTACACCTCCTTATTACATTATTAATTGCTAGGTACCTACTAGCTATGTAGGTAGAATCATGATTCTTTCCATTTGGTAATAAAACAAAAAGTGTCGTACCATATTTTAGCAATACCTACAAATAGTTTAAATTGGTTATTTGTTGTTACTACTTTACATTTGTAATAAATTCTGTGGCATATTCTGCTGATTCAAATCAAAAGGTAACAAAAAAGTCACTTACCGAATTTCAGGATCGATTGCCAATTTATTATTATTGCTTTCAACAATAGCGGTAGTTTTGAGCTTATTGTCTTCCGCTCCTATAAGCACTTCCGTTCGGCCATTTTGAAACGGCGAGGACGATCTTCTATCACCTAATGTTCTTATATCTAACGATTGAGGCGGGGGGTCCTTACTATTTTGATTTGATAACGTTACCGGTTTACCCCTCTCCGCGGTCGTTACTCTAACATCATTTGGCACTTTACTTAAATCTAAATTATCTCCAAATTGCTGAGTTAAAATAATATCACTAGATTTATGTCCGTTCGTTTGATTCGGAGGCAATAATTTTGATGTTGTGATTGATTCTTTTGATGAGACTACCGCCGTCGTTATCGCTCCGCTGCTTGGTTTGCTTACGGTGGGGTTGTTGTTTAAAGGTTCGGTGGCGGTCAAAGATGTCACGTATATTGGGGAGTTGCTTAAAAAACCGTTCAAGTCTTCGCTTGTTGTCGTTTGCTGATTTAGCTGGAACAAAAAAAGATGTATCACCATCACATACATTATAACCTGTACAATTTTAATGACACACAATCAAACAAAATTTGAAACAACCATTGGCATTGGCATTATTCTCACGTTGCAAACTTGAACAGTTTTATATTAAGTCCTCGATACTGACGTCCGAATCGTTAATCAATTTCAATACCACTACCACAATTTCCGTACTATTAAGTTTTTACACTACATTTTTTTCGTGGCGTCTGTCTAGCCACAACGGAACCAACGCAATTTTATTTTAAAATTGCACTCGCTGTCGTCGATAAATCTTAACATTATCTCGCAAGTGAACGGATATGAGGCGTTTCTTTGTGTTAGCCTTCCTTTCGATAAACAAGGATCAGGAATTAGCCACAAACTCGGTTATTTAATAATTGTTTAATTCAAAATTCGGGATCAACTTAAGCACGATCACACGCTTCTCTTAAAAATCTCAACAGAACAAAATTCCAAGCAAAATAAACCATAGATGCTATCAATTCGGGCGTCCTGCCAACATTGCGTCCTCCTGTAGGTAAGTTAACATCATAATTTAATTACAAAAAAAACTAAAAATCAAGATTCTCCCTGGACTGTACTCTGATAGATACACATCTTCGTCATCGGATGCGCCTTCTTCTTCGTTAGGTAGTTTGTATAGCTTCAGCTGACTAACCTGGGCTGTTGTGGTGAAATGACGAAATGACTCTCCGGGAGAAATTTAAACTCCTCAACATCACCGCATCGCCTATCAGTTCACTTCTGAAAATTCCTTGGCATCTTAACGTGTTTTGTATTTTCCCTAAACGCGGCCCAGTGGCCTCGGGCAAATGGTCAAGTAGAACGCGCTTCCCGCGATAATGACGGCAATGGATTTTGAGTTCAATTGGGACGAGAGTATACAGGAGGTGGAGCTACCACGGTGTCTCTAATAGTGGTCGCTGATATCCATCACGCTGTGTCTGCTGGAATTGTTCGCATTTATCGTTGTCTGTTCAGCAGAACGTTCATGTGTGGGTGTGCTCTTTACCTGTAGGTTCCGTGTCGTGCAGTAGTCCTTTGTATGACCCGGTTGTTTACATTTGAAACACAAATTATAATCTTTCGGACGCGGACATTCATTGGCATAATGTCCCTCGGACGCACAATAGAAACATCGCACTGTTTATTTCAGTTTACCATCTGTGTGCGCTCTTTGACTTTACATGCGGCATCGTGTCTCTAGTTTTCTCCAGTCGCCACGATTCTTGTATCTCACCGAGTCGTGTTACTCTTTCCAAGGATACCATACCATGCCTCGCCTTGTTCCTTGACCATTAAACACGAAATTAATACTTTCTCTCCAATTCAGACTCAATTTTCTCTTAAAGGTTAAATTTAGCACGTTGCACAATCTCAGTTTCTCATGCAAATACGTTTGTACTCGTTTCTCCATGCGTCTCCACGAAACTGACACACTTTCACGTAAGTCAAACCTGAACTCGAATTCAAACTCTGGCCGCAAACGGATTTTCACCCCCCTTACGTGAAACTAACTTCTATTCCCTGCAACTAAGTGGATTCTCGCATTTTCCCAATTTAGTTTCGTCTGGCCAGTCGCCATTTTGCTTGATCTTTCATTAATCGACCACAATACACTTGACGTTCTATATCCCACTTCTGAATATTGTTAGGATCCTTTTCGAGGATCAAGAATTAGCCACTAACTCGGTTATTTCTTAAAGACTTTTCAGCACGACCACACGCCACTATTTCGCAGTCCTCACTCTCTTGCCAACTTAAAATCGCCACAGAACTATAATTCTAACCAAAATAAACCATAGATCCTATGATTTTCATTAATCCTTTTGTCTATATCGTAGTAGTAATCATCTTACCTAATGACAACAAAAATAAATAATCCATAATATTAACAGCTGGACAAGGCACTTTTTCTCGCGTTCCCTTTATTGACAAAATTTGAGATTAATAGCGCTTTACAGTGAAGAGTATCCCACCACTTGAGCAGATAGACCGGACCGAAATATTTTGAAGAGAAGAATGTATTTGCCGGGTCACTGGTTTCCGGATGCGTCGTGATCGGTTAATGGCACGAGAAAAGTTATCAGCGCCAGTCTGACGGGTGATAATGCAATCTTAATGTGTTTTGCGTGACCAAAACTTACTAATGAAGAGATCATAGAGCGCTGTGCTCAAACGCGTGCATGATTAGTTGGACATGCACAAGGCATGGGTTAATGAATCGATGTGGTCGATTTAACCTCTTTTTCTGGCGGAAGTGAGTGGATACATTAAACTAAATTACGAAAAAACCGAGGGGATTACGTTTGGAAAAGGTCAGCAAGTACTGGTATCCTAACGTGAAAATTTCGAGGTAGCAAGAAGAATTAAGTAGAAAATTGCGCGGCACCACTGTTTTTGATTCAATTGACACACTACATCACACAATTAAAATTAATGTGATCGCCCAAACGAAAATAAATACTTAAAGGATATGCGTGCAGATCGAAGGGATTAACTTCCCTTCAAAAGAGGTTAGCAAATTCATTCTCGAGACAGTAAACTGATTATGAGACTGTTTTGCGTCAAGAATGCAAATGCGTCCGTAAATTCATGTCAATTTATTAAGTTGAATTGACCACGTATTTAAATATCCGTCGCACTAAAGGGCGAATATCTAGGACAACCTTGGCCTCTAGTATCTCATCTTTTGAGGGAAAACAAAACAAAATAATCCCCTGTCCCGTCACGAGACCGGAGTTCCATAAAAAAGGCGTTTCAATCCAGGGCACCCAAATTAACTAATAGGCTATTGAAGGTGGCTGTAATGCATGAGGTTTCTGAGTTGAAGAAATAATTTTCAAGTTACAATGAGTTTTGTAAGAAAAGTGAAGAAATTCAAGGCACTTAATGAATTTTATAAATTCAAGTAATTTTAAGAATACCTAGTCACAGATTTAAAGAAACTGAAAAATCGAAAAAATTAAATACTCCTGAAATTGGACAACGAGAAAGATTCGATCAAATGATTTTGAATAATTCGAACAATCTGAGGTCTCATGAATCAGAAACAAGTTAAAAAGTAATCGTAAACGACTTACAAAATGCGCATTTCCACTTGCATTCATTTCCCATTTGTAAGATGCAACTTCTGTTAAAATCGTAAAAATCCGCCACAAATATGAAAGATAGATAGCGTTGCACATGTGCAATCCATTTTTGACGTGCTACTTCAATTTCTGTTTATAAGAAGAATTTCATTTCAATGCTTTTCTAAATAAGAAAGTTGGAACTGCGCATTTGAAACTGGCGTTAGATTTTCATTTATTCCAAGTGCCTATGTATCAAATTTCATTCAAATACTTTTATAAATAAAAAAGTTTGCAATTCGGTTTATAAATAGTCGAGATGCAAAAAGAGCACTGTGAATTTTGAATCGATTCGACTCAACTTGGCATTGCGTATTATATGGCTAAAGCTATGCCCATATTGAATTTCATGCAATTCAGTTCATCATAACGGAGATGTCAAAGCGATCAGACATTTCTAACCAAAGTTATCAAACACACGGACATATAGAGGGACAGACAGACAAAGGGACAGACGAACAGACCAACAGACAGACAGACATACAAAATTATAAATGATCTCTAGGATCGTTAATAAACGGCAAAAGTGTACAATTATGGAACATGTAAAAAACGGTTTGTTGGTTTTTTTACAATAACTTTTTTAGCAATAAATGCAGAAAAAATTCCTTCCTCGGTGCAAGCCTCGACACCATAACGAACCATTTAGCGAAAAAAGTAGAACAATAGCTCTTAAGATAAAAAAAACTAGTATCGTCTCAACGAACGAGAGGACGGACGGACGAACGGACGGACAGCCGGACGGACAAAGTGGCCACAATAGCGCATTTATTTTTTATTTTTGTGGAAATGCCCTACAAAAAGGAATATGAAACGAATCTAAAAGAATCGAAAAAATGTTTAAGAAAGAAAAGTGCCAAGAATCTGAAGAAACTGAAAAAAATTGAAAAATCGTACGAAACTAGAAGTATAGACAAAAATTACAAGATTTCGGAGAAATGAAAGAATCCGAAGATACCAACGATGCCGATGGAACACAGAAAGATCAAAATATCTGAAGAATCCCAAGCATCCAGAGTAATCGAAAAATTCAAAAAACTTCGAAGAACAGAAAAAGAAACAAAGTATCGGAGGATTGGAAAGTCTTCAAACCATATGTCCATATTCTTCCACTCTTCTTTGAAGCAATCCATTTTTCTTTCAATTTTTCTCATTTCAACCTTGTCGATTTCTTTAAATTTTTCTGTAGATTTTTCGAATCTATCGGATCGTTCAGATTGTTTATCGATTTTCTAGACGAACGTGCCAGAATTAAAGATTCTACTTGTTATTGATTCATCGTGTTAACCGCCCCGAACAGACAGGCAGAGAGTACGGTTTTATAGAGAACCTGTGTAGCCCGCTATATGCAGATGCTTTCGCTTCCAAATTTTCCGTAATTAGATACGTCAAATCAGCCAATCGAACCGGCAGACTTATTAATTAGACAACATAATTAATATTAATCTGACATGACGCATGGAAAAACGATAAGTATGTACCCAAATGTCGCCGTTAGATTGATTTTAAAGATTATTTTAGAGTAAAGGGATTAGAGGCGCCCAACTGAATAGGTTGTCACACGCAATTTAGGAGACAAAAACGGTTTGTGCGTTTATGGTAAACCAATTTAAAACTCTTAAATTTTGAACAAAACAAAAGGGCATTTAATAACCAAAGTATGGTATATCTATATTAAATGGTAAAAGTTCATATTCAAGTACTTCTCAGTAATACTCATCTAATAGTACTTGCTGTTTTAAAAATAATTCCTATGTGTAGATAGTGAGGTGAGTAGGTAATTATTAAAAGTAACATCGATATTTTGAACATATTGCTCAGGCTCTGGTGACGTTGATA